TTCATTAGCCTTCTGTGCTTAAAAATATATAAAACTATTTGAAACTATTATTGTTATAACACGTGTTCTGTTATTTACTACATAAGCTTTTCAATTCAAAAGTCAGACTACAACACTCAGTCTATAACAGTGGTCAGTGCTCTCCACATTGATTTCACATTCATTCAGTATATACTTGTGTGCTTCATCCTTTGCAGCATTAAGGCGCATTACTCTGCTGGTCAAAAAGATATTCCGCTCTTCTTCTCTTTTTTTAATGACTCACACTTAAAAGTGATCTTTATAAAAACCTGCTGAATTAATATTTACATTCCTGGATAAACACGTCGCAGCTTCTACTGTAACAAAGACGTTTGGAAAAAACTCAGCGTTATGTGATAATCTGCAGTACTTTGTTTGCAGCATGTGTGTGTGTTTTTGTCCGTCTTTGTTACTCACAAAAACTGCTAACGATGTGTATTCAGTTATTAATCAATGATGTCGGATCATGAATCCAGATCGTTCCAGTCACTTGGATCTGCGCTTCTCGTGGTGTTTGTAGCGGATAAACTACTTGCGAACAGCATTAAATACGTGCCTCATAAACTCTAAAGTGATTTTTTTTAAAACACAGTAATCTTCAGTACTGTTCAGGCCAGGAACTTCTGATTCAGTGTCAGAGTTTATTGTGAAAGTGTAACGTGAGCGCATGTCAGCAGAAGAGTGGAGTGGAGACAGGACACTCTGACAAGATAACAGACAACCAGACCTTTAATGTGTGTCTGTCCTGAAGCAGCGGTGGTTGTAATTATGCAGCTGTGGGTCATTGCTAAAAAAAAAAATCAATGTGACAGAAAACATGAATCATTCTTTGAAATCACATCTCTTTACCTCAGCTCCATCAATGTTTGACTTATTTGGTGGTTCTATCTTCTCCTTGGATTTCTCTGTGTCAGAGTCGGACTGGCTGCCAGAGTCTGAGCCACTTCCTGAGTCACTGCTTCCTGATTGGCTGCTACTGCTGGAAGAGCTAGAACTAGAGCCTGAGCCCGACCCGGATGCAGACCCCGATCCAGAACCAGACTCATCATCAGAATTACTGTTAAATTAAAACAGAAAACGATGGAAAAAATATTTGTGTATTAGAGATGAATCATTTGCAAATCTCATTGACATGCTGGACTTTGGAACACATTCAAAATAACAAGACAGCCCCATCATTAATTTAAATGAAGCCACTGGGCAATAAAGGTTTCTACTTGACAACGTGAAATTCTATTCAAATCCAATGTAATCCAGTAATACAATTTGTTAATTTGCACTACACATTAGAGTTAGATTACTTGGAAGTGGACTATTTCTCTGCAATCATTAAGCTCAGGGGGTTACTGTTTCTGCTATTATATCTTTCTTGAATTGAAAGATATACTGCTGTACAGTAAAAACAACAGATTTTTTCAAAACAACACTGGCATAGTCATGAGTCTGTAACTTAAGAAATGCCAAATATCATTGTAAGCAAACTAGAAATGACAGACATAGAAGTGGGAGACAAGAGGTCAAAAAATTGTACTTGTGTCTAACAATAAAAGATAAGAGTCAAATATTCAGTTACTGATATCACTATGTATTATCATCTGCAACACCTGAAATTAGGCATCAATAATTTACCTTGATTCTCCACTGCTGTTGCTTACACTTTCATCCTCACTGCGTCCAGCCATGTTGAAGTCCAAAATATAGACTTCCCCCTGACAGCCTGTAGTACTATGTTCCACGTGGTTAAACTGTGAAATAAGATGCACAATAACAGCATTAGAACTAAAACCTGGAAATTGTGAGGACTGTATCTTCATCCTGTACTGCAATTCATAGCTGGCTGAGGCTCAGCAGGCAGAACGGGTTGTCCACTGGCTGGAAGGTTGGTGGTTTGATTGCAGCCCCCCAGTGTCTTCAGGCAAGATACTGAGCCAAAATATAGACTGAGCCCCAACTTGCCCCTGAGGCTGTTCCATCAGTGTGTAAGTGATGTGTGACTAAAAGTGGTCCTCAAGACTAGAAAAGAGCTGTGTTGATACAAACCATTTACCATCATTGGAAAATTATACAATGCAGGTAAAAATCCAACTGCTGATAAAGTGAAATGCAATAGGTTTTAAAGCAGTTACAGCTCGGTACACCATCCGTGACAAAGTGTTTTCTCTCCATCAAACCAACATATCGTCCTTTAACAACTGTCAATTTACTTCCACGTGATTTTTTTTAACGTCAATGTGTATAAAGTCACCGATGCTCTGCGCTTAGATTCTAGAAGAGATGCAGTGCGTCGGTTGCACAACAGAACGCTTTCTTGATGAATTATCAGGTTAAAAGCAGAACACACCGATCGGTGTGGATGGCTGTGGCTGCATGTTAACTTCACTGCATTTGCTCCCTCAGCGCAGAGGCCTAACAGGCCTGCGCAGCAGCAGCATGTTTTCACTGTGACACAAAGCTCCGTGGGTCGTTTCGAGACTAAATGACCCGACGGACTCTTCCCAATGGTCAAATCCCTCCTATACGAAACGGCCGTGCACCAATCCACATGCTGTCGATGCAGGGGGCCATTTGGTCTTCCTACTGCAACAGCTTAGCTTGTTGCTAACTAGCCAAAACCGGCTAACAACGCAAACATTAGGTATTGGCGGGGTACGTGAGGCTTAACGTATATACAGACACGGTCACCGCTCCAGACACCCTTTAACGTCAGATTGAGACGGACAACAGGATCTCATAACAATCTGCATTACCGTATTGCCACCAACGTGTAGCTGGTGTTAGCCACTAGCTCTTAAATACAAGCACTTGCCGTTTGCTAGCTTTTAAGTGTTATGCTAATATTATGACTTTCTAACCCAGATTATCAGAACACTCACAAAGCAGTATAAACAACCATAACAGTAATAGTTCCACAATATGTGTAGCGTACATGTGGGTAATTGTTAAAAGCCGTGCCAATATTTATTAGACGTCAACGTGGGTTCAATAAACATGGAGGGGGATGATAGCGCAGCGTTTAGTGAGGTTGTCAAGGAAAGTAGCATCGGCTAACGTTATGAAGCACGCGGCTACCACGGAAGCTAACAAAATTACAAAACTTTGTCCCAGTTCATCTGAGCAGGGAACCGCTGGAATGTTCCCTTTCCAGTCAGAGTCCACACGCGCTGTTTAGCAGATAACGATGCGTAACCACGCTAATGTCTGTGCAAGTAGTGCAACGCGAAGATTGGTAAACGTAGTCACTATTCAATATTAAACCACAAACCAAAACTAGCTAGCCCAACTTCACCCTCTTCCATCTTGTTTTAATTCGCCGCTCACTTCTCGCGGCTTTTACCACATCAACAGCTAACATTAGCTTACTTTCTCGCTTAACTAGGGCATGCGTAGCTCCACGCTGTGTGTTACCTGGTGTAGGTTTGTGTTACCTGTGAAACTCCAATAAAATAGTTGTCCAAATTCGCTTTTCCACTTCAGGGGTCCTTTCTTCTTTTATTTAAACAGTGAGCTAGCAGCTGCTGGCAGCTAACGCTACCTTGCGCTAGCTAGCTATCTCCCAGTTAGGGAGAGCAGCCCCGGACGACTCAGTTCGGTGAAACTGGTGCAATGTTGGTCTTCCCCTCCTTCCAAAAAATCAAGTAGTCCCCTTTCCTGTTGTAGATGTAAGCAAACCGCGGTGCTCGTCGGTCAACTGCGATCGTAGAAAGCTGGCATTTCAATCCAGGCTCTTCCGACAACCGGCCTCCGCCATGACGCCGTAGGGTTCACTTCACTAGGAAACCCCGGGCAGTGACGTAACGACCGTGCTCCTCACTATACAGCAGCAGCAGCACATCTGGCAACAAGTACTTGATACAGAGCACATAGATGCACACATTGAAATGAAATTAACTTTAGCACAAACGACACGTGGAACTTTAGATGAAGACAGATCTGTGTGATGTTCCCTGCAGAGCTGGAGGCCTTCAGTAGGTTTACACTGATGATGCATGTCACTGTCTATGGGAACGTTTCCTACATGCAGAAAAAGGCCCTATTATGAATCGCTTAATTCAGGAACGAATGATATGTAAACCAGCACTCATACATGCATCTTTCAACACAAACATAAACATGTGGAGTATTTGTTTCTTTTCTTATTTTTTTTTTTTTTTTACACCTTTTAAGCATAGACCCTACAGAGTGAGGACATTTTTGGAAAGTTATGACATTTTGACCAGTCTTCACTTTTTCAATGGGCTTAAGGCTCAAGACTCGGTTTTAGGGTTAGGGTTAGTATTAGGTATAGGTTTAGGTGAGGCATATAAATGGATGGTTAGGGCTAGGGAATTCATATTACAAATGAGTGTCTTCATTAAGATAGATGTACAAACATGTCTGAATGTGTGTGTGGCAGGTTATCATCTATAGTTGAATATGGAATATGGACTTGAGTTTGACATTTGAAATTAACAGTGTCGTGAAATCCAAACAGGGCTATGTGAATATATGTTTATGTTGTATATATTGGTATGACATCATTCAGACTATTTGTGCAACCTGCAGTGAAGTGATATCACAGTCCAAGAGTTCTTAGAAAAAAAAGATCAACTGTAACCGCACCGCCATCTGCTGGTCATATATGCTTATCACATGAACAATCGACACAAATAATAATTTCAACTCTGATTTTTTTTTTTTTAATTAAAGTAATTTTAACCTGTTTTGACCATATATAGATTATAAAAGATGCAGAACGACAAATCAAAATCAGACTGTCCGGTGATTTGTTGCAGCGAGCATCATATGTCCAATGATGTCGTTTTCCAGGATTGTGCACCAATAGGAAGTGATCAGCAGCCCCCGGAGCGGAAGCCCACTCACAAACATTTCTAAGCAGGGATAAGAGAATGGCACTGTTGTGCCGTGAAAACACCATCAGTCCTGTTCACAGCTCACATCCACAGCTCAGATCCCCACAGCTCAGATCCACGCAGCTCAGATCCACAGCTCAGATCCACGCAGCTCAGATCCACACAGCTCACATCCAGATCCACACAGCTCAGATCCACGCAGCTCAGATCCACACAGCTCACACCCACACAGCTCACATCCACACTGATCGCACGTAGCTCAGCGATGGGCTGACAGAGGGACTGCAGGGAATAAACGGGCAGCGCTCCGCAGGGTGAGTGTTTGACCGCCTCCATAAATTCATCTAACACAATCACCCTGATCGTTTAATCAAGAACACAACATTCAGCAGTGAACCTGAAAAAACAGAGATGTAGAGTGATGCACTGGGTTCAGAGAGACGAGTTAACCTGGTGGCTGATGTCCCAGCACAGAAATACAAGGACGCAGGCGATGCAGAGAGAGATCTCTGTATGTTGAGAGCTGCTTGATGAAAATCTCATGCAGGGATGATTTTAAAGGTGCAGCTGAATTAATATGAGCGTGATTATGACTCATAATTATGTGAATCCAAAGATGGAGCAGATGTCAGGGTGGTATGAACCATTACCCCGCTGTGGTTCAGTATCCGGCGGCACATAGGAGACTTGGCAGCTTGTTATATTTCACTTACTGTGGCTACTCATTTTCCATGATGCGTGAATTGGCTCCATTTTTGTTGTCTGCTAAGTTTGAGGTGACTGGTGTAACAAATATCTATCTATAAATACCTATTTAGAAATGTGCATCATGGGATCTAAGTTATTGATATTATGTCCCAGAGCCCATCCACAAACAGGGGGCAAAACCAGCTAAAATATAGGAGCTGCCTTAATGTCAGTCTTGATGGTTACTGGTATATACAGTGTCAACAGAAACATTCTAGTAACCATAAACTGACAGAGCCTGGAACTTGAAGCCCCTGGAGCAGTTCCCTACCGTGCCTTGTTTTTAATCCGGCCTTTGCAGAACCATGATGAATATTTCTGTCACACTGGGTCAACACTCAGAGGAAAAGTCTATATGAGACCACTCCACTGATCATAGGCTAAAATGTTGTCCGTGCTCTTATCTTATACATCCCTGACATATCAATACATCCTTGCCCACCTTTACCCAACTGTATCCAGCCTAACATAGCGGTCTGTAAAAGGTCCCTTCACCCACATGATGTTCTCTCTTCTCTCCAGTGGTATCTGTTAGTGAAAATACTCTGTTTTTATGAGACACAACTTTTAAAAAATCGACCTCCTCCTCAGAGGGAATAGAATATGGTTTAATTTCCCCAGAGAATTTGCTTAGTTTTAGTTTGCTACAGGAATATAAAATTGCATAATTTGCTAAATACTATAATATATCCGTATTACCAACTGGGAATTTAACGTATTTCTCAACGTCAGATGCTGCAAACGCTCCACACTCATGTCAGATTTAATGCTAAATGATGGCCTACTACAATTCATATGTGTACGTTGCATAATGTACAGGGGCCCCACCACTCTGTGCGTAGGGTACCAAGGGCCGGAGGGGGCACCACACATTTCACATGAACTGTGGTGAAAACCCAATTATAATTTTCCCCTGCTGCCCTCTGCTGGACATTCTGCAATATTGAGCTGGGGAGGGGACAAGATAAAAGATCATCTTGATACCATAGACTGTATATCAAAAGGTTGATGCCTTTACTGTGGGTTCGTGACCCCTACATGACAGACCTGACTTTAATGCTCAGTTAAATTTATAT